GTGATCTAATATGAGTTGAATATAATATCCTTGTCTGAGCACTTTTCCTCTTTGATTTCCTGAAGATGCAGTTTGTCACAGCTTGAAAGGGGTAAAGTTCAATTAGAAGCTCTAATGTTCTTTAGAACTTAAATTATTTAGGCTGACAGATGCCTTTTTACGCTATTATAAGTTTTAATGAGATTGGAACCAACCATTTGCAATTAAGAATCAAAAGTGACTGTGTTTAAATTTCATACAACCTGAATTTATTTGATAGTATTAAGATCCCATAAAATATGCAAACACCGGTGAGCTTATTTTCAATGAATATGGTATTAATCTTCTTACCATTACAGAAGAACGTTACTGCCTGACGACAGTGTTTGCACATTGTATTTTTAAAAATGTATTTAAAAACGTTACTGTATTTTAAAATGTATTTAAAAATCTGTTTTTTTGCTCCATGGACTATTGAACATGTGATGTCAAGAAACTTCTGAACCAACATGTACTAAAATCTTGTAAAAACTAAAACCAGAGTTGCCAGTGACTCATCTTCTGAGACACTCACTCATTTGTTATCTTCTCACCACTTCCTGCTCCTTTACTCTCTATTGGATGCCATAGCTCAACTTCTATATTACAACAGACACAGGATACAGCATGGATTTTTCAAAAAAGAATATTTCCATTGTTAGCCTGCTAGGGACCTCTTTTATAGTTGCTGACCAGGCACTCTAGCAAGCTGCAGCTTGCTCCTTCAGCCTTTTCACTCAAATCCTGATTTTAAGAACACTTGAAGGACCAGGGTGACAGTCCTTATTTAGACAATTTATACTTGGCTCCAAGATACACTACTTATAAGTGTATTAACCAGTTTGTTGAACACAACAGAGGATGGGATATTAACATCACATTACTAGCATCAATTCCATAAGTGCCAATGAAGGGGGGAAATGATATATTTAACAAAATTTGACAAAATAATTCTAGCTGCCACTACACAATATTCTATTAAATCATTATGAAGCACGTTTTTCATCAATCAAGCTCTGAAAGATTAAGATTCTACCTTTACCACCCAATCAACTTATTTGCTGCAAATATGGCTAAGCCACTATAGCCATTTTTTTGTATTGTTTGGGGCTAGATTCACAGACCTGAGCTAGGTTTACCTTTTAACTGAATCTCTGCATCTTTACTAGACTCTGTTCTTTCCCATTATGGGCTAAGACCTTACCTTCCACACACAATTAGATTGATGTTCCCTTTTATTCCAGTATATTGCTCAAAGCTCATAGTATAGATGTTAAAGAAATAAGCCTTTACATAATATCTTGCTTCTTCCTCCATTATTTGTTGTTGTTGTCATGGCCCCAATTTCAATTCTCTGCCATACATGTATTAGTTAAGAAGAATTTGAAGATTTATTTCTGTATAACTGTTATTCAATATGTGACTTTTACTTTGGAATTAATATGGAACCAGTTCCTCAGAATGTTAGTGAAGCTATCTTTTGGAGGGCTTATGAAAACTTGACCACTTGTGTGCTTTGAATATCTCCAGGAACTTTGTGTTAGAAGAGGCATGTTAATAATGGTGGCATGACCACATTCCATTTTTGCATGTGGTAATGACATTTCTCTCAAATGCCCCATGCAGTTTCTATTAATTGTGTCCCACCCTCAACTATGTTGATGCACATTCAATATTTAATCTCAGAGGTTGGCTGCAGTATTGAATTGAGCGATTCACAGGTAGGTTTAATATCTATGAATATAGAACACTAGAGGATCTGTTAGGATGATGTGCACTACATTAAAGTAATGCATTACTATTATTGGCTTATTTTTATTTTATTTTATTGATAATGAAGCAATGTGATCACAAAAAGGGTTTCTATCAGTAGACTTCAGTTGATTCTCTGTGCCAAAAGGTTATTAATCTCTCTAAGTCTCCCTAAGCCTATCAGTTAGAATTCACTGTTGTTATAAGAAATATTTATGTTCTGCTGATGGCCATGTAGGTGAAGAAGATGATGAGCAGGTGGAACATGAGATTCTATAATGAACATGTTGCACTTTTAATTGTATTCCAAGTTTCTTATCAGTCACTATCCAGAAATTATTATACATTAGTTAATTATAGTTAATTAGTTAATAAATTAGTTAATTATAAATTAATATTCATTGTAACTAATCTAGAAAGACTGAGATTATCACAGACCTTCCACAACTGATAATCCACAGTGGCCAGAATTCTTGCTGGTGAAGAAATGGTCTCTGAGGGGAAGGGAAATGACAGTGAAATAAAAGAAATATTAGCAAAACAGAGGTAGCAACAGGAAGAGGCACTGAGCTACAAGGCTCATGATCAAAAACGACATCATAAATGAAGTGGAACACTGACAACTTTAAAACTTTCATCATTCTATCTCACACGTGTACCAGAATGATGCTTATCAAGAAAATAAATGAAAGAAACAACTTCTAAAGTGTGAAGCACTTTAAATCTCAGAATCCATCTGGAGATGCCAAAGATGAATAGTGTGTTTAGTCAGTGTTTCCCATCAACTATATATTGACATCTGTAGTTGCCACACAGAATTATCATAGAATTGCTGTACTGCTTAATAAAATGCTGACTTATGTTGTCATTTTAACTTTGTAACAAGGAAAGAGAAGTATTTAAGAGAAGCAGATGCGAACACAAAAAACATTTGCGAAACTGGTAAAGCCTGTGGCAAAGCTGAAGGGAAATATATGCAAGATACTCAGAGTTTGATAATATATCTTTCTGTTTCAGCTGTAGATATGGTGATTCCTGCCACAGTGACACATTCAAATTATCAATAAAAAGTTGATTAATTTTCACCTTATTTTAATAAGTAACACCATACCTCAAATTAGCATCACGCATAGTTTGCAAGCATCTGTTTATGTGTCTTAGGCATGATTATGCTTCATAAAAGCAATAATTTAACTGAAAATTAAATGAGCATATTTGAAAATAAAACACGCTATTTAAACCAGAAAAAGAGATCGATAGTAAATTTCTGTTACTTAGCTCAAAGCAGTGATACTCGTCAAAAATGCTAGAAAGGATTGATCTATAATGTTAATTATATATAAAATTCACACATTAATTAACATGGACTTTAGCTGACCTCAAAAGGGAACTAAAGCTCTTCTTAAATTTCAGAGGGTTTTCCATTTGCCAGGAACAGGACAATATATGTTTAATTAGACTTTCAGCATATTTGGAAATGCTAATTGGCTCTACATTCTAATTAATTTCTTTATATAGCTAAGAATGACATATCACTGAATGAATGTAATGTGTTTTTACAGCTGAACTTAGGAATTGGCACCATTTTCCAAAATATTTTAGTATAGAAAACTTAGGCTTTATTAAACATTTGGTTGTGTTTACGTTGTGAGAAAGTAATGATTCATTTTGCAACAAAAAATATGTATCTATATAAATATTTTAAATTAAAACCATTGTTCTGTGGCTAGAAATATGGTTTAACAAATACAGTTTTCAACTGAATCAGATGGCTTGGTGAAGTTTACTAGAGAGATAATGGTGTTGAAAGACAATAAACAAATATTCTCCAATGTAATATTAAGGGTGCATCAAACAAAATGTTCAATTCCCTAACCATTGCCCTAACTCTACTTCCTTTGAAGTCCATGATAAAACTCTCATTGACTTGAATGGGAGAAGAAATAGGCCAATGCTGAGCACTTTCTTGGTTTGTAATGTCTGAGAACATACATCTTAAATATATTAGGAAAGAGCTATAAAGGAGATATATGTGTTGGAATACTTAACACCTATGAAGCCTACTGCACAATATAATTTGAAGCTCTAAGTTAGACACCCTAGCACTCCATGCACTGTATGGGAGGAGTTAGTCACCTAAGAAAGGGATTCTCAGTAGCTTAAGCTAGCTAGTCAAAATGCCAAGGAGAAGAGCATCAATATCTAATGAATATTTAATTATTTATACAAATTGGAGCAAGGTTTGACAGGAGAGGGACCTCCCCACAGAATACCCAATAGCTTAAGTGTTAGGGCACTCAAGTGGGATGTGGTAGGTTCAGAGGGAGTCCTTTTGTTGAGCTTTGGATTTGGTCATTGCAAGGCAAAGTCTCTATCCATAGCAGCCCAAGGAAAACGTTAAGCACTGGTAAAAATTAAGTAGGTATTCTTTTATTTTTCTGCATCATCCTGGACACTATGATTTGTCTATCAGATGATCTTTCCTTCAGTCATTTTCAAATGGTGCTTTTAGCTTAGTTAAAAATGGCAACAGTTTATCAATGTGGTTTAATTAAAATTAATGTAATGCTTTATCTCAAAGTTCTGCTAAAAAACATGTCATGGAGCAGATATCATGCTAAAATTATGTAAGCAACTGTTTTTCCAATAGGGTGCAACTGGATGTAAGGGGTAGGTATTGCGATAGCCATGTCACATTCCTTGTTAATGCAGAAGTCCTCACAGAACCCTTCTAAAGCAATTAATATCCTACACTGTGCTGAATAATGTCATATGGTATTTAAAAGCAGAAACCAATACTCCCAATTTGCATTTTAAAATTGAATCTATGGGCATACCCTCTTTGGACTTTCCATCCCATTTGATTCTGGAAAACTATCCGTTGTTCCCCTTCAAAGGGTGTGTCTACACAATATCCTAAATTTGAAATAAGATACACAATTGCTTATCTTATTTCAAATCTATTTTGAAATAATGTGCTATTCCGAGCCATCCCTTAACTCTCATGCAACGATGTTTACCAGGATAGTGAAATAACATGCTCGTTATTTCAAAAAATATTTCAAAGTAATGGGTGGCTCATGTAGACATGTGATAGCTCTTTTGGGATAACTCCAGTATCCTGAAATAGCCATGCAGTGTAGATGTACCCAAAGTTCCATAATAGGAATGAGTGACAAAACAATGATTCTTATGGGCAATGAGGTGACACATTATATTTTATTTTTCAGCTTGGCTGCTGGAATCCTATCACGGGTCTGAATGGGTCACTAACAGACAGAAAACTGGAGAATAACATGCGTGGGGTAGTTCTGCGTGTGGTGACTGTGCTGGTAAGAGATTCTGAGTGTTTTCCATTTAGAAGAGTGCTCCTTTTCTCCTTTTCTCCTTCTTGCTTTCCACTAAATGTTTATTGTCTAATGGTGACAAAAACGGATTTTGAAAAAAGTTACACTGTTTAAAAAGAAAATGAAACATAGTCAACTGTCACAGAGTTGAGTTTGTCCTTGTCAATACCGGATCAATAGAAAATTCCACAAAATAATTATTCTACCAATAAAGTTCATTTCAAATTTGGAATTATAGACATTAAAAGCTGTTTCTTCCATAGGCACATAGTAAATTATATAGGTTGAACCTCTCTCGTCTGACAGGTTCAATCTGTACATTTAATCTGTGTTAACTCAAAAGAGCAATATAAACTTGCTTGCTAGCTAAGGTTTCCTAGCTAAAACTCAATATGATGCACAAGATATAGCTGCCTTCCAATTACTGTGCCAAACTGAGTGCAGTTTGACAGAATTTGCTGCACTCAGAAAATACTAAAGATTGGCTTGATGTGAATTATGTTCAGTGAAATAACCTTCCTCTCAGAGTTTCTTGGGCCAAATTCTCCCCTGTGCGGTGGCCACTTTGTGTGAATCAAAGGAAGGGCCTGAAGCGGGCCAAGGAAGAGTCATACCAGCATAAGGAGTCAATTTTTGCTGGCACAGAGCCCACATAGAGTCTTCTGTGTCACACACCTTCGTGGCCACTTGAATAGAAGAGCTGATGTGGGAAAAGGTGGTGTTAGCTCAGGTAGAAACCTGAGATTTCCAGCCTGATGTGGTCATTCGCAGCTGGGATTGGTTCAGCCAAGGTTCAGGGAAAGTAAAAGGGTTATTTTAAGATACCTTTGTATCCAGTACCTCTTCCTAATGGTACCCACTTCTTTGTCATGGGTGAGGATCTATTCACTTATTTATAAATGAAGATGCAGAGATAGGTTTCTGTTATTTCCCTTGTAGATGTTGCGTTGTGCAGAAAAAACGTCCAGCTTAGCTAAGCTAGTGGGTAATATTGCGAGGGATACGACTGCTTTTTGGAGTTTCATCCCATGACAGGTTAAAATGTAACTTTTTAGAAGATACTATGAATGTGGTAGTTCCATATGCTTTTTTAATTGTCTGTCTTGTTTAAGCAAATCAAGTGTCCAACCATAGTTAAAAAAATAGAATGAATAGATATAAAAAGACAAAGCAGTATTTATATTTTTAATAGTTTGCTAATTGGACATTCTTCAAAGTAGTATCACAGCAGCAATGGTTGGCCTTTGTACATTGCTTGATACAAACTTAAACTGATTCAACATAATTTTCTTGCATTGGAAATGTTCAGTGAACATTTGCTATCAAAAGAACTTCAAATGAGTATCTTGTCTTTTTTTCATATTTCATAATTTCATCCCTAGTTATCATTTCAGTTAGGTTGCCAGAGAGCATTCTTTTGTCAAACAATTATATTGTGACCATTTAGCAACTTAGACACTGATGTGGAGGGAAAATAGGAGTAATTACTCACGCTGATAGTACTGTTTAATCCAAAGAAAGATATTTAAAGTTCAGCAACACATCACATAGAATATTTTGTTCCCTCTCCTCAGCCCTGATGCAAACAAAGACTATTAGCTGACATTTGTATCCAAAAGGTTATTTCTGGTTTGTGTTTTGGGTTATTGTAAAAGCAACATGTTTCCAAACACAACTACAACTTGGTGGTATTTAATCTTAAATTGTGCTTTCATAAAAATTGATTAATCCTCTCTTTGTTAATTGAGATTCTTTTTATATGAAAACAGAACTAGAGGAAATGAGTGAGGAAGACATAAATGATCCCCATTGCCTTTATACAGGATGACTTTTCCTTTTTCTCTTAAACAATTAGTAAGCCTTTGCATGGTTCATCAATGCAACCTAATGGCTCAAGTCTTGCAAAGTTGGCTGTGACCCTGGTACCATCTAAGACTCTTTTTATTTTATACACCAAAGCACATATTTTCTAAGATGGTTGACTAAAAATAGGCACCTCAATAAGTACTTCATTTTCGGAGCAATAGGAATCTGCAACTCTAATTGGAATCAATTAAATATTTCATCTATTGGATGATAAACATGAGTTGTGCCAATCTTTTGGTTAAATTCTAGAATTCATGAGCTGGAAAGGTAATTTTATACAGTTATTTCCAGCTCTTGTACAAAATTTTAGCATAGAAAAGAGAATATAAATAATCAAACAACAAAACTGAAAATGGAGGACAGAAGAGATGTAGGTGGAAGATGCAGTAATGGCACTTGTGCTAGTATTCTATCATCATCTCTTACCCACTCTAAATTAATGCGAGACTAAATAATACTGCTGTTGTTGTTAATTGTATTGGTGACGTTACAAATTTAGGACCTCACCCTGGAAAGCTTTACTGCTGTGTGTCAGTAGATATGCTTGAACGAGCAAGCAAGGTTTCATGGGACCTAGCTTTTATTGTGTCTGGGAATTAAAATGTATCTGTCATATTATTCACTCACATGTGTATATGTTGCCCTAGTTTATAGGCAGGGCTGTTGCTTGTTACTTATTTTAGCATGGTTCAGCTCAGTTTGTGTCTTTGTTCAGATCTTATTGGGCATGACTAATAACTTTTATGGGAAAGAAAGGGTATGTTGGTATAATATTCTGGTGTTTCTAACAGCAGGATTGGAGTTCAAGAAATACGACAAGCATGTTAAATCTCAGTTAATGGCAAAATATTGTATCTTTGCAGTCAGTGAAGAGTTCTTAGGCAGAACAAAGTCTTGATAATCTATACAATTCTCTCTTTTTCCTATGACATTTTCTTTCTGGGGCAGAAGTATAAGTTTCAGTTTGACACCGGAGGTGAAATCCTGACTCTGTTGAAGTCAGTGAGGGAATGTCTACAATGCAATAAAACACTTGCATCTGTTTGTGTCAGCTGCACAGCTCAGACTGCAGGGCCACAAAATTGCAGTGTAGACATTCATAGAATCATAGAGCTGGAAGAGACCTCAGGAGGTCATCAAGTCCAGCCCCTTTCCCAAAGCAGGACCAGTCCCAACTCAATCATCCCAGCCAGGGCTTTGTCAAGCTGAGACTTAAAAACTTCTAGGGATGGAGATTCCACCACCTCCATAGGTAACCCATTCCAGTACTTTATCACCCTCCCTGTGAAATAGTTTTTCCTAATGTCTAACCTAGACCTCCGCCACTGTAACTTGAGACAATTGCTCCTTGTTCTGCCATCCGTCACTACTGAGAACAGCCTTTCTCCATCCTCTTTGGAACCTCCCTTCAGGAAGTTGAAGGCTGCTATCAAATCCCCCCTCTCTCTTCTCTTCTGCAGGCTTAAAAAAACCAAATCCCTCAGCCTCTCCTCATAAGTCATGTGCTCCAGCTCCCTAATCATTTTGGATGCCCTCTGCTGGACCCTCTCCAATGCGTCCACATCCTTTCTGTAGTTGGGGGGCCCAGAATTCGACACAATACTCTAGATGTGGCCTCTCCAGTGCCGAATAAAGGGGAATAATCACTTCTCTAGGTCTGCTGGCCATGCTCCTCCTAATGCACCCTAATATGCCATTAGCCTTCTTGGCTACAAGGGCACCCTGTTGGCTCATAACCAGCTTCTCATCCATTGTAATCCGCAGGTCCTTTTCTGCAGAACTACTACTTAGCCAGTCAATCCCCAGCCTGTAACAATGCTTGGGATTCTTCCGTCCCAAGTGTAAGACCTCATTCGGGCTCTGTGGGAGAGAGTTACAGATCCCAGGCTCTAACCTAAGTCCAAACAGCTATGTTGTAACTTTATAACTCTTTAGTGCAAGCCCTGCAGGTCCAAGTAAGCTGATGCAGGCCAGTCGCAGGTATTTTATTGCAGTGTAGGTGTACTCTGATAGTTGACCTGTTGACTTCAGTGGAGCCAGGATTTCAGCCATGCACTTTTTCTCTTGTGCACTGTCTCTCTCTCTCTCAGGGATGTTTCAGCAGCACAAAGTGGTATAGTATTTATCAGTGGCTAATGATCTAAGCACTCAGGTCTGCCAGGTTTTGAGTATCTTGGCAGTGATACAGCAAAAGAACGAAAACAAAATCTTAAATTTAAGTACTTGGGTAGTCCCACTGCAGTCAATGAATTTCCTGGAGTCCTTCTGGATTGATGTTCTTCCTTTTGATTTCAGTGACTCCACTATCTCACAGTAATGGCAAATGAAATTTTGGAGGGGGTTTAGAGGAGAAGTGTTAGGGCTAGCTTTCTGTTTACAGTATAATACATGATACTATGATGGCTAGTCATGGAACAGTGATAGTGGCCTGTGATAGATACATCATGTTATGTTCCCTGAATGAAGCCAGAAAGAGATTTGCTGAATATAAAAGTACAAATTGTGACTGTGCTGGTAAAAAAGTTCTTGGAGTGGAAGGATAAGTATAGATATTGTGTCCATGAACTCCTTAGAGTCTCCAATCAGATTCTGGAAACATCATTACCTCCAGTTCAAGAAAGAAAGGAACTGGACACCAGAGAGAGGGATCGAGAGGGTAGGGTTGGTGGTTGACAACCATCCAAGGCAAAAGAATGAGATGATGTTCTACACAGGCCGATAAGGAATGTACATATTGTGACTTCCAAACAGAAGAGCTTCTGAAGCAAGGAGCTTTACACACCGCTAGAGGTATGGAGTCATTACCTGGTCTGTAGCATGGGAAGTATGGAACTGGTTGAATGGAATGAAAAGGAGTTCCCCTTCCAGGAGCACAGAGATGGCCTCTTCCCCTCACTTTGCACAGGGGCCCAGGGAGAGTGGATTTCTGTTTAGCCCAAGTTATAACCAAAATAAGTGTGCCCACAAAGATCTCTAATTGTCCCAAGGAGACAAACAATGGGATTCTGTATTAAGAAGAATGGAAGGAACATTCTGCTAGAGCAGGCATGTCCAAAGTCCGGCCCGCGGGCCAATTGCGGCCCGTGTTCCGGTTTAATACGGCCCCACGGGTAATTTGG